GCCTGGGGGCTGGATGCTTTACAAGGAGTGGGGCCAGCACCCGCGGTGTGGGTGAGACTTTTCACTAGGTCAGTGCAGCAGTGACAGGGAGATGAATCCCCTTTCTTGGCAGGGTGACGGGGAGAGGTTGGGGCTGTGTGGCAGGGGAAGGCACCCCATGTGCCTCCACAGCATGGGTGTGTGCTGCTGCAGAAAGAGAGGGGCTGGCCGGGCAGAGGGGGGTGCAGAGGCTGGGAGCTCAGTCCTGACCTGTAGAGAGAGGTGGCGGGGAAGTTGTGCGCTTCGGAGGGGAAGGAATGAAAAGCCTCGAAGCACCCGCAGCCCCCATGGAGCCTTTCTCTGTGCTCCCAGGTCCCAGGTGCCAGAGCCACACGTAGAAGGGGAGCACCCTCACCCTCACTCTCCTAGAGCTACGCGGCTGCTGGGCTCTGGGCTGTCTGGGGCACGCAGTGGTGTGACCGGGCCAGGGCCACGTAGCCTGGCAAGCACTGGCAGCGATAGGAACCCTCCGTGTTCTTGCAGGTGCCACCTCGGCACAGGGGCTCAGGGCTGCCCACCTCTTCACACTCGTTGATGTCTGCAAGGAGAATGATGGGGCTGAGCGAGTGACCTAGTGAGCAGTCCTGGCAGACAGTCAACATCTCCTTGTGCCCCTGGCATTTCCCTCCACCCTTCCTCCACAGGGTGCCCCATGCCCCATAAGTACTTCCAGGATGTCCACTGTGACCCCACCAGCCTCCCACACCCTCAGCACATCTACAGAGGCCCCTCAGTCTCCAAGGATGACATCCCCAGCCTTTGACAACCCCCAGCACAGGATGGAGCCCTGCCCCACACCAGATAGGAGCCTCGCCACGCTCTGCAGCTGGTGACACCCCCAGGTTAGCTGCTTCTCACTAATAAGTTGTGAATGCCTATGATGTGGGAGAAAGGCCACCTCTAGCCTTGGAAAATGCCCTTTCCTGATCTGACAAGGCTGAGCAGGCAAATGATGGTGGCCCTGAGAGGCTAATTATCATCTCCAGGACCAGAACACAGAGGGACTTCATGCTGCACAAACAATGGCTTGTTTTATTAACCTGCAAACTGTGCCAAAGGGCTCACTCAGCCAGCTCGCCACTGGGCTAGTGTGCGCACATGAGCCCTACAGCAGCTGCCTCACAGTGACAGGTCCGTTCTGCTAAATGCACTTCCCTGGACACCTTGCCTAAGCTACACCAACTTGTGGTAGGGCCACCACCTGGACAGAGTATCCCTGTAGCGGTCCACAGTCCTTGTCTGCACCCACAGGACCTCCAGAGCCTAAATCCTCAGCTCACAAACACCAGCTTCACCCCCCCCCCAA